ACTCTTTACAAGAAAATGGGTATAACTCAGCTCCCTTGTAGCCCACCCAGATCCCCAAATAGCACTGTACCCTGGTCTCCTGGCTGCCTTTGCCTCTTGAGGGTATGCATGCAAACGTCATGAGACACTAGAGCAGGTCTGCATGGGGATTACATTTCCCCATCAGAGACAATTTAATCTACTTCACTTTCGTGTAGAATGCTGACCTGCATAGACCCTGGTGAAGATTCTCTTTCTTTGACAGTTTGGGAAACCGAGGCTGGAATGGAGGCCTCCCAACTAGTCCAAACAGAAAACCCAAGCAGAAAATCTTCATAGACCTAGCTCTTGGCTAATATTTAAGAAGCACCTCTAGGTGCCAGTCTCCAGGCATCTCCGCAGTGACCTGCTGAGGTCTCCATCCCCTCATGAAGATGGTCAGGCACAGAGAAGGAAAGTGGTTTTGAAGCATAGTGGCCAGGCCTGAAGACAGGTCTGTGTCTGTGCTCTGAACCCAGGACCATAGAGGCTAATGCTTCCTGGAGGTCTCCAAGGACTTCTCCCTGCTGCCTGCAGGTAGACACTCTACGGATCCTCCCAGTTTATGGTCATCTTTTATGACTTCTTTTTGCCCTTCAGCTGGAGTGGTACAGGTGGGTCTTACCCATGTGAGAGATCATAGGGACTCTGGGAGGTGTTGAAAGGACATTGGGAGCTGCTGCATATGTGTATGTTGGGCAGGGGTGGGAGGGGGTTCCAGAGACAAAGGTCCTGCGAGCAATGTTTAAGGTCAGAGCCTTCTGGGGTCTGAAATCCAGAGAGGCAATCGACATACTCGACCAGACAGGGACTCCAAGAAAGAATGAAGAATCCTGGAAAATCCAAACAGCCCTGTGAATGGCTCCATCTAGGACCCTGTCCTGATGAAAATATAAAGCAGCAACTACCACTTTGACTATGCCCCCCTAGTCCCTGAAGTTAGCAGGTGTCAGAGCCAACCAAGGGTTGGCAACTCTTCCTACATGTAGAGTAGAGTAGGAATAAGGGTCCTTGGCACTCCAGGAAGTTGTGATGGCTTCTCCCCTCATTTCTCCTTTCATTTTGTCCCACGTACTCCCAGTGATTCTTTTAAGGGGTGCAAATAATAAAGGCTGTGTCCCCTCTGGGTGCCCAATGACCTCTCAGTTGGAGATAAGGCTTGGGACAGAGATTCAAGGGTGTGACATATTCCTAACCAGGGAGGGAGAATCCTGGGTAGAGAATCCCAGGCAGTGGAGACATTCTGCTTTTATGGGTTGTGTGTCCATAGGATTTACCTGCCTGTGTGGGCCTGGCATAGTTTCTAGGTCTTGGGGAGACAGAAAAAAAAAGGCCTAAGAATAAGAAATAAAGCCAATGAGGAGGTCTTATTACATTTGGTTCATTCTCAAAAGCCAGCATCCCAGCACAAGCCATTCCACCCAGCTCGTATGGTACTGGAACACACCAGGGACCTCCCAGGGCCTTAAGTGCTGGGTCTATATTGTGATAATTGACTAAGCGTTCTGGGACATTATTGGCTTTTTCTTTCCCTCATCCAGTCTAGTCAGGCTGATACCCCAAACTTTACTGCTAGCTTATATTTTCCCCACTGAAGCAAATAATCCTTAACCTAGCTGGCGGCCCTGGGCCAGAGACAGACTGTTCTTCTCTGTCTGTCCCATACTCACTGCCCTCTAGGCCTTCCCATAACTTGTTTTATTCTCATTTCATGGCTTTCTTCACAGCTATTTATTTTTTATGCATATCTTCATTGGCACTCTCAACCATGTGCCTATAAATCTAGGTCTGGTTGTCCCTGTCCTCTACTCCATGGGGCCATAGATATGAATTCTCTGGGAGCTAGGACCATGTTATATATCCTCCTGGAGTCTTGGCTGAACAGATGCCTTCCTCAGTTCCTCCCAGATTCATTAGAACTCACCAGTGCCAGGGACCTGAGGATACCAAGACAGCTGAGACAGAACTAGAAGGAAATTTGGCTGTTTAAAATATACTGGGATGGGCTAAAGACAGAGAATGTGGGTGGGGTCAGCCTGAAGTGGAGACACAGAAGGCCAGAGTTGTGGCTCCCTGTTTCTAGTGTAGCAGGAAGTGGGTAGGAGCACCTTTTCAGGGATGTACAAGCCATCCAGGGTGTTGAGCTGTACTGTGGCCCTCAAAGGGAGGGGGGGCAAGACTCCACAAGCTTTGTCTCTGTGTGGAGGCTGTCTCTCTACTTCACTACATCTGTCTAGAAAGATGCTCCCAGAGACTGGGACAGGACAAGGCATAACAGTCCTTCAACATTCCAGAAACTCTGGTCTTCTGCCAGGTTAGGACTTCCTCAGGATAGGGAAGGTATCAGAGTGCTACCTCCCCCTGGGAAAGTCTTTCTATAAACTTTCCTAAGAAAGACCCAGCATCCGTCAAGTGGATGATGCAATGGAGCCTTTAGAGGGGTACTTTCCTGGGATATTCCAGAATTCATGGTGGCTGAATAGAGAGATAAGAGCCCAAGCCTGGAGTACAGTGATGTCTAGATAGAGGACAGAATCTGCTAGGAAAATTCTCCTACAGCTCTAAGATGTCCTTGGGGCAGTCACAGGCTTCTCCTGTCTTCCCACCAATAGAGCTGTCCTGATGGACAGGTGCGTTAAGTCCACCATTTTCTGGATTAGGTGGGTGGCCAGAATTTCCTGTGTGGCCTATCCCTCTAGGCAGCAAAAGGCATCCACGTGTGGGACTAGGCATGAGTTCAGGTCCTGGCTCTGCCACCATCCTTCCTGTGTGAACTGAGCTCCAAGTGGTCTCTTAGACCTCAGACACCATTGAGGACAAAGACTTCCCTGAAGAACGTTGGTTGTAAGGATGGGTCAGACCATCTTAGATGTTCATGTGTCTGTCCTGTGGAATTCGAGGGACTTTGGGGCCCATTTCCTGCCCCCCTGGTGATGACTTCCTCTTGTGATAAAGATCCTGGGGCAGCCACACGCTTCTGGTTCCCCCAGGGCGCATGTCAAGGGACACTCCCAGGAAACTCCTTCCAGAGGGTTCTCTCCCTAGCCTTGTGGGCTGGAGGCCAAAGAGGGGTCACTCCACCCATCTGGTCCCCACCTCCGCCCTGCCACAGCCCCACGGAGGCCCTTGAGTCAGCAAGGCTATCTGATATTATTGCCGCTTCTTTCCATGGGTGTAATCTAGGAATGCCTGCCCGTGTCACCACCTCCACCCTGATGTCATCTTTCTAGGAGAAAGACACATATCTGCCCACAATCTGCATCCCCAAGCCCCTAGAATCCTGTCCCATAGGTGACAACTTTGGCACCTGTAGACCATATCCTTGACGTGAGTCTAGCCTCTGTGGCCTCTGTTTTCCTCTTGGCCACCACCCTGCCACATGCCTGGACTAGCTTTAGTTCTTCAACATGGCCATTCTGGCCCCCAGTCTCTCTTCCTAAATGATTCTTGTAGCCTTGCCCTGAGTTCCACCTCTTATCTGACCCTCGAAAGCCCTTGCTTTTGTCTGATTTCATCAGTCCACTGAATCGGCTTCTTGGGCCCTAAAGCATGTTGCTTGGCATAGGGGCCTCCTCTCATATCAAGAGGGGACCGCCAGAAGCCCAAGCGTTCTCACAAAGCAGGCAAAATAAGTGCAGCTAGCTTAGATGCACTCTTATCTAAAACCTCCGCCACCCTGACATGTTCCTATGAGTACACATGTATTCAACACCACCAGCATACACACATGACTAAAGAGATACACATATGTATTCTCATGGCCTCAAACTTCCTGTATAGGAAGGCTTGGGCCGGATCCCTTGTGCAAACACAAACTCGTGCCATCTTCTCCAAAACCCATTGTGAAAATCAAACACTCATTAGCCCCTTGAGGGCATACTGCTTTTCCAGAAGCAGTTCCTGATTCCACAGAAAACTTCCACAGGAGTGGGAGGTAGGCTGGAGCAAGGGGCTATGCAGCAAACTAAGTCTGATAGAACTTGCTAGAGAAGGTGGGGGGCGGGTGAGGAGGGGTGGGGGCTGTCCCTGGTTACTATGTTACAGCCAGCCTCAGAGACCCCAGGTACCCCCTAGTGGTACAGATAGCAGTAAAATGGCCTCTTTGAGTGGCGGGCTGCTCTGAAGAGGGTAAAGAGGCTCACATAACTCAAAGGAAGAGTCGCTTGCCAATGGGTGGGGCTGAATCAGCAGTCAAACTGGGGTGGCCTTACTTGCCCCAGCCAGAAGCTCTAGTCACACTGTGACTTTTTAGGATTGAACATGCCCTTGTAAATGGGATTTATAACTGGAACTATAGCAGTCAGTTGGGATGGTGCCATAAGAGAACATGGTGTAGCAATGTAGAACCCATTGCTGCCAGTCCCCTTGCTCCCAAGGTGGCAGGGTGGGGGTGGGGCTGGGCAGAGAGCATTATAGAATTGTGCCATTGGGCCGGACCTTGTCTAATTAGATAAAGGGATGGACCTGTGAGAAGTGCACATCTTAGAAGAAGGCTGGAAAGAGAGTAAGTCAGAGCTGGGGCTGGAATGAGCCACCAGAGTAGGTACAGCCTGCCCAAAGGCCTCCAGGAACAGCAGGTGCTATGGAAGCAAGAGCCCCACTCAGTATCTCCCAAACCCCGCCCCAGCCACTCCAGGCCAGGAAGTCCAAATATGCCTGGAGGCCCCTCAAAAGGAGAGGCTAGCCAGAGGCTGGGTCAGACTGCCCAGGCAGGGTGGGAGAGGCCCTTAAAGCAGCCTGCAGGTGGGCTGCCAGTTCTTAGAAGGGCTTATTAATGAAAACTCCCAAGCCTGACAACCTGGGGGAAGGCTCACTGGCCCCATGTATAGCTGATAAGGGCCAGGAGATTCCACAACTCAGGTAGTTCCCCCGCCCCCCTGGAGTTCTGTGGTCACCATTAATCATTTCCTCTAACTGTGTATATAAGAGCTCTTTTGCAGTGAGCCCAGTACTCAGAGAGAAAGGCTAAGGTCCTGAGGAGGATGTGGCTGCAGAATTTACTTTTCCTGGGCATTGTGGTCTACAGCTTCTCAGCACCCACCCGCTCACCCATCACTGTCACCCGGCCTTGGAAGCATGTAAATGCCATCAAAGAAGCCCTGAGCGTCCTGAATAACACGCCTGCCATGGTGGTGAGTGAGGGAGAGAGTTGGGCTGTTCCCAGGCCACCCATTGGCCCTTGTCTTGCCCTGCCTGTCAGCTTGGTAACACGACACTTCCCTTTTACAGAGTGAAGAGGTAGAGATCGTCTCTAATGAGTTCTCCGACAAGGTAAGCTGCTTCTCTTTGCTGTAGCTTCCTGGGTGGCCCTGCAGGGCTCCTACAAGGCTTCCCTGTCAGTGGCTGCCAGGGGGAGGGGGTAGAGTCTGGGTAGTCAAGGTCTCCATACCCATTCCTCTGTAGCAGTCACGTGCACTCTTTTTTATCATCCATAGCCATGCCCCTGCGGCAGTCATGTGCACTCTTTTATCAAGTGAGCAATAAGTTTGGGCAGAGCTAGCTTTCAAAGGTCAGAGATTTTCAGGGGTTGATGGGAGTGTGAGAGTCGCTTTATGAGTTGGCCTTGTTGTCTTAGAGTTCTCACTGTAGCCTGTGACCATGGAGAGAGGGTGTTGACTATATAGGGGGACAGAGGGACTTCTGGAACAGTGCTCGCCTACACAGAGGTTTGGGCTCTGGCCATCTCCTTCTCCTAGAATGGCAGCAAGTAGCCTTTGCTTACAAAATTGGGGGAGGGAGGTTGGAACTTGGAACCTGTTGAGGTACCAGGCTATAAACATGGCTGTGCTAGCTGAGGATGGCCTGGGCCAGGCAGGGAGAAGGACAGTGGTCAGGACAGTGTTATGACTAGCCCCAGCTTGTGCCACTTAGTGGGAAGAGAAGGGAGTGGAGAGCAGTTTGCTTGTATTCTATGGACACTTGGCCTTTGCTTATCAACAAATGGATGCTTCTCACAGGAGCTGACCTGTATGCAGACCCGTCTGAAGATGTACAAGCAGAGTCTACGGGGCAATTTCACCAAACTCCAGGGCACCTTGACCATGATAGCCAGCTACTATCAGACGTACTGCCCCCCAATCGAGGTGAGTACACAGCATCAGGGCCCAGGGTCTTAGTGTGGGAGGGTGGGGCCAGTAAGGAGAGACTTCTGGCTGTAGCTGTTCAGGGCCCTAGTAAGTGGTTTCTGTATCATTAGATGTGTCAAGAACAGGCCATAGCTCCTCTTCATCCCTGGATGCTAAGCTGAGGAACAGTAGAGAGCTCACTGCTCTCCCCGGGAGAGTCTACCTGCCCATGCCATACATACCATTGTCAGTCATGAGGTCAGAGGTGAGGCAAACCCAAGGAAGCTCAGGGCCTGCCCAATCCCAGAAGAGCCAAGAGCCAGCACCCGGGTGCCACTTCCTGGCAGGACTTCCCTGTAAGGATGCCTGGATTCCATGGATACAAGGAGGAGGCTCCTAGAGTAGACAGACACCCCAAACATTCCTATTTTCTTTCTTCATCGAAGACAGTGAGCCCTGTGTCCTTTTAGAGGTGAGGAGATGCCTCAGGCTGGCCGCTTTCCTTTCAGCAGGAACCAAAGAGGCAACCCAACTTAATCTGAAGACCTGAGAGGTCTTCTGTTAGGGTACAGTCCCTGGGTGCCATTGACAGAGCTGTGCATGCCTTAGGCAGCACACGGGCAGCTATGGTGTCATCTGATCCTTTCGAATGGGCCTCTGGCCTCTGAGTTCTCAGCAGCAACAGAGAGAATCCACAGCTACTTCCCTGAGTCACCCACTCACCTGGACTCAAGTGCTGTTTATTCTTTTCCACCCCCTCCAGGAAAATGACTGTGAAATACAAGTCACCACCTTTAAGGATTTCATAGACAATCTTAAAGACTTTCTGATTGATATCCCTTTGGAATGCTGAAAGCCTGTCCAAAAATGAGGAGGTCCAGGCCGGCTCTGGATCCAGCTTCTTGGACTGCTACTTTTGTGTCTGCATAATGAGCCAGGAACTCAGAATTTCTGCCTTAAAGGGACCAAGGGATGGAACCCAGCCACAGTGCGGGGCAGTATAGCCCTCTGAAAATGCTGACTCAGACCGGACAGCGGAAGACAAACAGGAGATATTTTCTACTGATAGGGACCAGCAATATTTATTTATATATTTATATTTTTTAAAAAGTATTTATTTATTTATTTATCTATTTATTTAATTTTGCAACTTTTTATTTATTGAGGATGTCTTACCAGAATAATAAATTATTAAAACTTTTGTTTGTACAGTTATCTGGTTTATTTTTAAGAGGGGAGAAATTTGGGCATAGGTGAAGTGGGGGGTGGAGGGCTATTGGAGTAGAGCATTGATGAGGGCCAATTCTGTCATGACCAAAGGGAGGTGAGACCAGGCCTGGGGCCAGCATCAGCCTGGGTGCAAGATATCACATGCCTTGGTGGAATTTATGGAGTGCTCAAGAGCTTCTGCCCCAGAGAAAGGACTCTAGGTTCACCAGGAAGTTGAAGTAACTGGTTCACAGACCTGACTCAGAGAAGGGGTGTCATCCTTTCTAGGAACTGAGGGAACTAAGGGGTTGGTGGTTAGTGTCTAAACAAGTGAATCCTAGCATTCAGCAAAACTACTGTCCCCTTTTGAGATCATAGACCCTGTATCACTATTTGGCCTTCACACTTGGGGCCTTAACAACCCTTAAAGTAAATCAGCAAATAGACTAACTATTTGGAGAAAAAGAAACTAAACCACAGGGATCAGAACTCAGCATATTTACCCAACTTTCCCCCAAGTGGGTGATCATAATCTTTAGCAGTCAGAATGTCAGTATGGTGTATGCTGGGGCTTAGCTCTGAGGTGGTACTTTTCTTAACTGGTTTTTATTTTTCCATTAAATTTTGACTCTCATGGGTATTTTCCTCTAAAATCCACGGCCTTGGGGCTGAGAAACGTAGTTATCCTCTGTCTTTGTTAGATGACCAGGCAGAAGGTCTCCCCCATTTATTACTCTGAGTCCTTCCTGAGGACCATCAGGAAGTGTGAACGTGTTCCCAACGCTGGGGGTTGGGCAATGGGACCAGCCTTCTTGCAAGTGGCCTGAGGAAGCTGGCTGTCTGCAGTTTAAGGCCGACACAGGTGCTAGGATGCAGTGATTGCCCACTGTTCCCTGTGTTCCAACCTACACACATGATGGCTCCGGCCCACACAGACACTTGCCTCAGGCAAAAAACCATAACACCATCTGCAAATAAAAATTCTTAGAGCAAGCTGAATTTTAGCAAAGGGAAGAATCCATGGGGTGTGGCATGATATTAAAATGCATAAAAAGCACATCTTACCCAGTGATAAGGTCCCCTCTGTCGATAACTGATAAGCAGCACTGGTACTTCCTTAGACTCTTTTGTGTGTGTGTGTGTGTGTGTGTGTGTGTGTGTGTGTGTGTGTGTGTTTGTGTGTATGTGTGTGTGTGTATGTGTGTATCTTCCACTGAAATGCTGTCAAGCAAGCCAAGTTCAGATTTACTGTGAGTCACCTCTAAGACTGTGTTCCTGGCTTTTGTGCTCTGGGGGTCAGAAAGCCATTGTTCCCCAATGAAGGTAGCCACCATGATTCCCCAGAAAAATCACATGGCTCTCCGTGCTGAGACTCAGCAAGAACTGTCTGCTGACAAGAAGATATACTATATAAGTCTAACTTTCCATTAATGTCCACACATGCCTGTGGCCCTTCGTGACTGGTTTCTCTTGTTTGCAGAGGTACTCCAGTAGACTCTAGAACACCGGTGAGGTAAGAAGAGTTTAGCTTCTGTGGCCTTTCTGGCCATAGCTGAAAGAGGAGGAGGGGATCGCCTCAGTCAGCAAACAGTGGAGATATCAATGAGAAATGCCGAGGATTTGAGAACTGAACCCCTGGCCCAGTCAGTAGATGAACCAGTGGTCAGGTGCCCGCCTTTGCCAGGCTCTCTGGCCACTACTCCAACATGGCCCCCATAGCAAGAGGAGATGAAAGCGTATCTATTGGACCCACTGCATAGCCTGCAGGGTCCACAATGGCTGAAGGAAATGGGATCAGAGGCGTCTCAGAAATTTTTTATGGTGAACATGGGGAAGGGGTGGGAGTCTGGCACTGTGCTGGGAGACAAGGCTGTGGGTGGGCCATAGTGCGGAGTACCTGAGGCCACACATCTGTAACTGATCTATCACTGCTTCAATAAAGCCTGAGTGTGAAAATACTGGATAGAGCCTGTCTGGGGCCTCATGGAAGGGGGGGGGAGGGAAGAGCTCCATCATGAGGTACTTCACCTGTAGTCTTCCACACAAGAAATTCTCTTTTACTGCCTCCTGTTCCCTTATCTGATCCAAATACAATCTTTTCCCAGAGCTCCCTTCCCAGTCCACCAATATCTACCCACCTCCAAGACCCGAGTGCTGAAACACCAGGCTAAAATCACTTCCTCTCCTATTCTCTACTACAGCTCCTGGGCAGCTCGACAGAACCATTCCAGCCTGTCCCCTGGCCCAGAGTGGGGATAAGGGAACTCTTAAGCTACCTACTGAAGAGTAAGCATAGTGTGGGGCTTGGGCAGGAAGGATGTTCACTAAGCCCAGGGATCCTTCCACTCCCAGCTCTAGCAGCACCAGAAGAGGGTCATCTAACCACTGAGCCAGGCCCCTCATCCTGCCTGTGTAACTCCTTACAACACTTCCTGGGTGTCTGGCATGACAACACATCTCTGACTCCCATCCTCCAATACCCATAGCCAGTTTTGCTTAGGTCCTGAAGGGCTGACATCCACAAGTTCTGACCTCCACCCTCAAGACTAACCCCACCCTAATCATTTGAACAATCCATTGAGGATGCCTGGGTTAGCCTACAATTCAAACAGCTTCCCGTAACTCAAAGCTCTGAGGCCAGGGCCTCAACAAGCCAGGATGGATAAGGCTCTACTTACCCTGAAGTGTAATTAGTTATGATACAATATCTGCTTACCGACAGGCTGTGCCCAGCTATGTAGGCCATATACACACACCTGCCATCCTTGCCAAAGGACTCTGGGCCATAATTTCTCATCTTGTTCAGATACCATAGAGGTCAGAGGTCAGAAATGTGCTCATGCAAGTTTGCCTCTGTGTCTCAGAACGTGGGGGAACAATCCTGTGGCTCTAGGCCAGGCATCAGTGGCTACTGCAGGGTCAGGGGTCCCTTGGTCTGGTTCCTGAAGGTTGTGAGCTCTTGAGTGCACAGTCCTCCACGTTCCTTAGTAACTGGCAGTCGAGTCTGGGTAGGGCTGCAGAGACATCTTTCCAGGAGGACCCACTCCTTCCCTTCATTCGCTTCCTATCAGCTGGTGTGTGGGCTCCCTGATCTTGAACTCCTGATGAAGCAAGGCATCTGTAGTGGACTGGAAGGAAGACTTACATGTAGGTTCTTATCACTTTCACTGCTTGCTATGTGACCTTGGATGAATCCCTTAGTCACTTAGTCACAGAGCCCACAAAGGTAGAATGAACTTCAACACTGGAGGCCACACCTCAACCTGAGGATAAGGGCTTCAGTCAAGTTGAATAGCTGCAGAGTGTCTGGCTTGCTCAGGAGACAGGTCAGAGAGGCTAACAGCACTGCAGGGGGACAGTGGAGCTGGGAAAGGCCCAAGCACAAAGGGGATGAACTATTCCTTAAAGTCACCAAACAGTCACCCAAGAAGAGACAGGCCTGACAGTGAGGGTGTCTTAAATTTTCCACGCACCACGGTTTTCCCTTCAGATGGGCTCAGCTCTAGCCATGGTCTTGGGGTGTATGCTGGGGTTACATGTGTACAGGTACTGTTTCTGAGAGCAGCAGGCCTGAGTCCACAGCATTTGGGTTTAAGAAGATGTAGCTTTAGAGAAAATCTGGGATTCTGGGGTGATACTCAGTCCACAAAACATGGCCTTGACCTGACATCGTCTGGGTCAAACCCTGAGCACTTCCTTCCTCTAATAGGCCTGGGCCAAGATGAAACTGTAGCTTCTATAGGTGACACTTAAGAGTAGACCTGGACCTGAAGAGGCAAATTTGGTTTCTCTGAGTCCACCTTGACCCCAGGAGGAACAGCAGAGCTGGCTGGCTAAGAGATAGACTCATCCACTTATCATGACTTTCTAGAATAAAGGAATAGTCCACTCATCCCGGAGGCCTCATGTATCCTCCTCACAGTTATTAACAGGACTCTAAGAAATGCATGAAAGGACACAGAAGCCTTTCTCACGTTGGGCCTTGAGAACTGAACCAGCCCATACACAGCCCCACGCAGTCTTTGAATATCTATCATATGGTCACATGATATGGTCCCAGGGAGGCTATACAGGGAGGAAGATTTACCCACAAGAAGGGGCAATCTGTCAGTCTATGGTACAGAATGACAGACACTATAATGGCTATAATCACTATAATCTTGGTTGTCAACACATCTGGGAAAGTAGGACCTCAACTTCTCTCAATTTGCCTGTGGGCATATCTATGGAGTATTTTCTTCACTGCCAGTTGATGTAGGAGGCTCCACTGCAGATATACAATGCCAACCCTTAGATAGGTTAGCCTGGGCTATATAAAATGTTAACTAAACAAGCCAAAAAACTATGCTCTTCTGTAATCTCTGCTTCAGTTCTTGCCTTGGCTTCCTTCAGTGATGGACTGTGTAACCTGTAAGCTGAATATACTCCTTCCTCTGCCAGGTTGGTTTTGGTCATGGTGTTTATCACAGCAACAGAAATACAAAGTAGAACAGACACCAAGCTAACATGGCAGCTAGGAGAGGCTGCTATGCAGGGCCCACAATGGTACCCATGCTGAAGTGACCCCACATAGGCCAAGAGATGGAACTGGGACAACATGTGAGGAGGGGTGGGAGGAGACCTTTCTCTATGGGGAGAGAAGCTATGTCTAAGGTCAACAGACATCACAGGCTCATAGTAAATTTGCATCTTCAATGTCCCCGCATAGCATCGGAAGAATCCCCAAATGGATAGTTCAGCTAAGATGCCAAGGATGGATAATGGATAATGGATAATGTAGCAGGTCCTATCAAAGGGCTAGGGCAGTGGACACGATGCCTGTATACAGAAAGGGATGTTGTTAATAGGCTCTTCAT